AGTCCCTGACGAGTCCCTGACGAGTCCATACGAGTCCCTGACGAGTCCCTGACGAGTCCATACGAGTCCCTGACGAGTCCATAGGAGTCCCTGACGAGTCCCTGACGAGTCCATACGAGTCCCTGACGAGTCCCTGACGAGTCCATACGAGTCCCTGACGAGTCCCTGACGAGTCCATACGAGTCCCTGACGAGTCCATACGAGTCCCTGACGAGTCCATACGAGTCCCTGACGAGTCCATACGAGTCCCTGACGAGTCCATACGAGTCCCTGACGAGTCCCTGACGAGTCCCTGACGAGTCCATACGAGTCCCTGACGAGTCCATACGAGTCCCTGACGAGTCCATACGAGTCCATACGAGTCCCTGACGAGTCCCTGACGAGTCCCTGACGAGTCCCTGACGAGTCCATAGGAGTCCCTGACGAGTCCCTGACGAGTCCATACGAGTCCATACGAGTCCCTGACGAGTCCATACGAGTCCCTGACGAGTCCCTGACGAGTCCATACGAGTCCATACGAGTCCTACGAGTCCATACGAGTCCCTGACGAGTCCATAGGAGTCCCTGACGAGTCCCTGACGAGTCCATACGAGTCCCTGACGAGTCCATACGAGTCCCTGACGGGTCCCTGACGAGTCCCTGACGAGTCCATAGGAGTCCCTGACGAGTCCATAGGAGTCCCTGACGAGTCCCTGACGAGTCCATACAAGTCCATACGAGTCCCTGACGAGTCCATACGAGTCCCTGACGAGTCCATACGAGTCCCTGACGAGTCCCTGACGAGTCCCTGACGAGTCCCTGACGAGTCCCTGACGAGTCCATAGGAGTCCCTGACGAGTCCATACGAGTCCCTGACGAGTCCATACGAGTCCCTGATGAGTCCATACGAGTCCCTGACGAGTCCATACGAGTCCCTGACGAGTCCATACGAGTCCCTGACGAGTCCCTGACGAGTCCATACGAGTCCCTGATGAGTCCATACGAGTCCCTGACGAGTCCATACGAGTCCCTGACGAGTCCCTGACGAGTCCATACGAGTCCCTGACGAGTCCCTGACGAGTCCCTGACGAGTCCATAGGAGTCCCTGACGAGTCCATAGGAGTCCCTGACGAGTCCCTGATGAGTCCATACGAGTCCCTGACGAGTCCCTGACGAGTCCATAGGAGTCCCTGACGAGTCCATACGAGTCCCTGACGAGTCCATACGAGTCCCTGACGAGTCCATACGAGTCCCTGACGAGTCCCTGACGAGTCCATAGGAGTCCCTGACGAGTCCATACCAGTCCATACCAGTCCATACGACTTTATAAGGGATTTTGAACACGTCATTTTTTAATACGATAAGACCCAGGACTGAGACTGTAGACCCAGGACTGAGGGTATAAAAGTACCCGTGATGGCAGTTACTGAGTTACTTTTACTCCATTGAGCATTAGTTTGAAATCTGAAAATGTTCTCTTCTCTGGATCTGAATGAGGGCCACTCACCCCGGACTCTTGGACCCAGACCCTGGTTCAGGACTGAAGACGATGGGGTGGATCATGGAGCTGTCACTCGCCACAGCGCTCGCCATCGCCGCCCTGCTGGTTCAAATTCAAATTAGATATTTTTATTTCACAATACAATACAGTGACAGCATCATCTCAGAGACTTAACAAAACCATTAAAAGCACAAACACAGATCAGAGAATCAACAGTTAAAACACAAAATATACATATGAATTGGTCCATAAGAGAGACCAATGTCCATGAATGTAGACCCAGGACTGAGGCTGTAGATCCAGGACTGAGGCTGTAGACCCAGGACTGAGGCTGAGGCTGTTGACCCAGGACTGAGGCTGTAGACCAAGGGCTGAGGCTGTTGACCCAGGACTGAGGCTGTAGACCCAGGACTGAGGCTGTGTGGACCCAGGACTGAGGCTGTAGACCCAGGACTGAGGCTGTAGACCAAGGACTGAGGCTGTAGACCCAGGACTGAGGCTGTTGAACCAGGACTGAGGCTGTAGACCCAGGACTGAGGCCTTAGACCAAGGGCTGAGGCTGTTGACCCAGGACTGAGGCTGTAGACCCAGGACTGAGGCTGTGTGGACCCAGGACTGAGGCTGTAGACCCAGGACTGAGGCTGTGTGGACCCAGGACTGAGGTCGTAGACCCAGGACTGAGGCTGTAGATCCAGGACTGAGGCTGTAGACCCAGGACTGAGGCTGTAGACCCAGGACTGAAGCTGTGTGGACCCAGGACTGAGGCTGTAGACCCAGAACTGAGGAAGTGTGGACCCAGGACTGAGGCTGTGTGGACCCAGGACTGAGGCTGTAGACCCAGGACTGAGTCTGCAGACCCAGGACTGAGGCTGTAGACCCAGGACTGAGGCTGTAGACCCAGGACTGATGCTGTAGACCCAGGACTGAGGCTGTAGACCCAGGACTGAGGCTGTAGACCCAGGACTGAGGCTGTAGATCCAGGACTGAGGCTGTAGACCCAGGACTGAGGCTGTAGACCCAGGACTGAGGCTGTAGACCCAGGACTGAGGCTGTGTGGACCCAGGACTGAGGCTGTAGACCCAGGACTGAGGCTGTAGACCCAGGACTGAGGCTGTGTGGACCCAGGACTGAGGCTGTAGATCCAGGACTGAGGCTGTAGACCCAGGACTGAGGCTGTAGACCCAGGACTGAGGCTGTGTGGACCCAGGACTGAGGCTGTAGACCCAGGACTGAGGCTGTGTGGACCCAGGACTGAGGTTGTAGACCCAGGACTGAGGCTGTGTGGACCCAGGACTGAGGCTGTAGACCCAGGACTGACACTGTGTGGACCCAGGACTGAGGCTGTAGACCCAGGACTGAGTCTGTAGACCCAGGATTGAGGCTGTAGACCCAGGACTGAGGCTGTAGACCCAGGACTGAGGCTGTAGACCCAGGACTGAGGCTGTAGATCCAGGACTGAGGCTGTAGACCCAGGACTGAGGCTGTAGATCCAGGACTGAGTCTTTAGACCCAGGACTGAGGCTGTAGACCCAGGACTGAGGCTGTAGACCCAGGACTGAGGCTGTGTGGACCCAGGACTGAGTCTGTAGACCCAGGATTGAGGCTGTAGACCCAGGACTGAGGCTGTAGACCCAGGACTGAGGCTGTAGACCCAGGACTGAGGCTGTAGATCCAGGACTGAGGCTGTAGACCCAGGACTGAGGCTGTAGATCCAGGACTGAGTCTTTAGACCCAGGACTGAGGCTGTAGACCCAGGACTGAGGCTGTAGACCCAGGACTGAGGCTGTGTGGACCCAGGACTGAGGCTGTAGACCCAGGACTGAGGCTGTGTGGATCCTGGACTGAGGCTGTAGACCCAGGACTGAGGCTGTAGACCCAGGACTGAGGCTGTAGACCCAGGACTGAGGCTGTAGACCCAGGACTGAGGCTGTAGACCCAGGACTAAGACTGTAGACCCAGGACTGAGGCTGTAGACCCAGGACTGAGGCTGTAGATCCAGGACTGAGGCTGTAGACCCAGGACAGGCTGTAGACCCAGGACTGAGGCTGTAGACCCAGGACTGAGGCTGTAGACCCAGGACTGAGGCTGTAGACCCAGGACTGAGACTGTAGACCCAGGACTGAGGCTGTAGACCCAGGACTGAGACTGTAGACCCAGGACTGAGACTGTAGACCCAGGACTGAGGGTATAAAAGTACCCGTGATGGCAGTTACTGAGTTACTTTTACTCCATTGAGCATTAGTTTGAAATCTGAAAATGTTCTCTTCTCTGGATCTGAATGAGGGCCACTCACCCCGGACTCTTGGACCCAGACCCTGGTTCAGGACTGAAGACGATGGGGTGGATCATGGAGCTGTCAGTCGCCACAGCGCTCGCCATCGCCGCCCTGCTGGTTCAAATTCAAATTAGATATTTTTATTTCACAATACAATACAGTGACAGCATCATCTCAGAGACTTAACAAAACCATTAAAAGCACAAACACAGATCAGAGAATCAACAGTTAAAACACAAAATATACACATATGAATTGGTCCATAAGAGAGACCAATGTCCATGAATGTAGACCCAGGACTGAGGCTGTAGATCCAGGACTGAGGCTGTAGACCCAGGACTGAGGCTGAGGCTGTTGACCCAGGACTGAGGCTGTAGACCAAGGGCTGAGGCTGTTGACCCAGGACTGAGGCTGTAGACCCAGGACTGAGGCTGTGTGGACCCAGGACTGAGGCTGTAGACCCAGGACTGAGGCTGTAGACCAAGGACTGAGGCTGTAGACCCAGGACTGAGTCTGTAGACCCAGGACTGAGTCTGTAGACCCAGGACTGAGGCTGTAGACCCAGGACTGAGGCTGTGTGGACCCAGGACTGAGGCTGTAGACCCAGGACTGAGGCTGTAGACCCAGGACTGAGGCTGTAGACCCAGGACTGAGGCTGTAGACCCAGGACTGACACTGTGTGGACCCAGGACTGAGGCTGTAGACCCAGGACTGAGTCTGTAGACCCAGGATTGAGGCTGTAGACCCAGGACTGAGGCTGTAGACCCAGGACTGAGGCTGTAGACCCAGGACTGAGTCTTTAGACCCAGGACTGAGTCTTTAGACCCAGGACTGAGGCTGTAGACCCAGGACTGAGGCTGTAGACCCAGGACTGAGGCTGTGTGGACCCAGGACTGAGGCTGTAGATCCAGGACTGAGGCTGTAGACCCAGGACTGAGGCTGTAGACCCAGGACTGAAGCTGTGTGGACCCAGGACTGAGGCTGTAGACCCAGAACTGAGGAAGTGTGGACCCAGGACTGAGGCTGTGTAGACCCAGGACTGAGGCTGTAGACCCAGGACTGAGTCTGTAGACCCAGGACTGAGTCTGCAGACCCAGGACTGAGGCTGTAGACCCAGGACTGAGGCTGTAGACCCAGGACTGATGCTGTAGACCCAGGACTGAGGCTGTAGACCCAGGACTGAGGCTGTAGATCCAGGACTGAGGCTGTAGATCCAGGACTAATAATAATAATAATAATAATAATGCATCGGTTTTATATAGCGCTTTTCTGGACACTCAAAGACGCTTCACATGTGTCATTATTCATTCACTCCATACACGGTGGTGATAAACTACTGCTGTAGCCACAGCTGCCCTGGGGCACACTGACAGAAGCGAGGCAACCAGTATGCGCCATCGGCCCCTCCGACCACCACCAACCATTCACACACACACCAGACTCATTCTAGGCAATGGGGGTGAAGTGTCTTGCCTAAGGACACAACGGCAGTTTGGCACTTTACAGCCGCAGCCGCCCCACTGTGGCTGGTGTTCCCAGAGGTTAAGTGTCTTGCCAAGGACACAACGACAGTAGTCAGTGGGAGTTGATGGTGAAAGTCTTGAGCGGGGCTTGAACCCACGACCTTCTGGCTCAAAGGCCAAAGCTCTACCAACTGAGCTACTGCCGCCCAAGGACTGACACTGTGTGGACCCAGGACTGAGGCTGTAGATCCAGGACTGAGGCTGTAGACCCAGGACTGAGGCTGTAGACCCAGGACTGAGGCTGTAGACCCAGGACTGAGGCTGTAGACCCAGGACTGAGGCTGTGTGGACCCAGGACTGAGGCTGTAGATCCAGGACTGAGGCTGTAGACCCAGGACTGAGGCTGTAGACCCAGGACTGAGGCTGTGTGGACCCAGGACTGAGGCTGTAGACCCAGGACTGAGGCTGTGTGGACCCAGGACTGAGGTTGTAGACCCAGGACTGAGGCTGTAGACCCAGGACTGAGTCTGTAGACCCAGGATTGAGGCTGTAGACCCAGGACTGAGGCTGTAGACCCAGGACTGAGGCTGTAGATCCAGGACTGAGTCTTTAGACCCAGGACTGAGGCTGTAGACCCAGGACTGAGGCTGTAGACCCAGGACTGAGGCTGTGTGGACCCAGGACTGAGTCTGTAGACCCAGGATTGAGGCTGTAGACCCAGGACTGAGGCTGTGTGGACCCAGAACTGAGGCTGTAGACCCAGGACTGAGGCTGTAGATCCAGGACTGAGGCTGTAGACCCAGGACTGAGGCTGTAGATCCAGGACTGAGTCTTTAGACCCAGGACTGAGGCTGTGTGGATCCTGGACTGAGGCTGTAGACCCAGGACTGAGGCTGTAGACCCAGGACTGAGGCTGTAGACCCAGGACTGAGGTTGTAGACCCAGGACTGAGGCTGTAGACCCAGGACTGAGGCTGTAGACCCAGGACTGAGGCTGTAGACCCAGCACTGAAGCAAATGCAACTAAAGGACATCTCTACAATGTAAAGAATGACACAGCACTTTGCTAAAGTGAGAGTAGCAGTAGTAGTAGAAGCAGTAGTAGCAGTAGCAGTAGTAGCTGCAGTAGCAGTAGTAGTAGCAGTAGCAGTAGCAGTAGCAGTAGCAGTAGTAGCAGTAGCAGTAGCAGTAGTAGCAGTAGCAGTAGCAGTAGCAATAGTAGCAGTAACAGTAGCAGTAGCAGTAGTAGTATCAGTAGTAGCAGTTGTAGCAGTAGCAGTAGTAGCAGTAGTAGCAGTAGCAGTAGTAGCAGTAGCAGCAGTAGCAGTAGCAGTAGTAGCAGCAGTAGCAGTAGCAGTAGCAGCAGTAGCAGTAGCAGTAGCAGCAGTAGCAGTAGCAGTAGCAGTAGCAGCAGTAGCAGTAGCAGTAGCAGCAGTAGCAGTAGCAGTAGCAGCAGTAGCAGTAGCAGTAGCAGTAGCAGCAGTAGCAGTAGCAGTAGTAGTAGCAGCAGTAGCAGTAGCAGTAGCAGCAGTAGCAGTAGCAGTAGTAGTAGCAGTAGCAGTAGCAGTAGCAGCAGTAGCAGTAGCAGTAGTAGTAGCAGCAGTAGCAGTAGCAGTAGTAGCAGTAGCAGTAGCAGCAGTAGTAGCAGTAGCAGTAGCAGTAGCAGCAGTAGCAGTAGTAGTAGCAGTAGCAGTAGTAGAATAAAAGGCAGATACATAAATTAAAAAAATCCAGGTTAAAACAGTTTTGTTTAACTACAGCTGAAGGACTGTATCTTTACTGTCTGTAAATGATGGTGTTGATGGTGTTGGTGGTGTTGGTGGTGTTGGTGGTGTTGGTGTTGTGTGTGATGGTGTTGATGGTATTGATGGTGTTGGTGGTGTTGGTGGTGTTGGTGGTGTTGGTGGTGTTGGTGGTGTTGGTGGTGTTGATGGTGTTGGTGGTGTTGGTGGTGTTGGTGTTGGTGGTGTTGATGGTGTTGATGGTATTGATGGTGTTGGTGGTGTTGATGGTGTTGGTGGTGTTGATGGTGTTGGTGTTGATGGTGTTGGTGGTATTGATGGTGTTGGTGGTGTTGATGGTGTTTGATGGTGTTGATTGTGTTGGTGTTTGATGGTGTTGGTGTTTGATGGTGTTGATGGTGTTGATGGTGTTGATGGTGTTGGTGTTGGTGTTGGTGGTGTTGATGGTGTTGGTGTTGATGGTGTTGGTGTTTGATGGTGTTGATGGTGTTGATGGTGTTGATGGTGTTGGTGTTGATGGTGTTGATGGTGTTGATGGTGTTGGTGGTGTTGATGGTGTTGATGGTGTTGGTGTTGATGGTGTTGATGGTGTTGGTGTTTGATGTGGATGATACTAACTTGTTCTTGTGAAAAGTAAATAAAAAGTTCCAGACTCACCTCCGGCAACAAGTTCAGAGAAGAATGAGGAGAGAGTGGTACAGACTCCTCCTCTGCTTCTGAAAAGTCATGTGACCAGAGGAAGGAAGGAGGGGGGGGAAGAGAAGAGAGAGGAGAGAGAGAGAGAGAGAGAGAGAGAGAGAGAGAGAGAGAGAGAGGAGAGAGAGAGAGAGAGAGAGAGAGAGAGAGAGAGAGAGAGAGAGAGAGAGAGAGAGAGAGAGGAAAGAGAGAGGAGAGAGGAGAGAGAGAGAGAGAGGAGAGAGGAGAGGAAAGAGAGGAGAAAGAGAGGAGAGGAGAGAGAGAGGAGAGGAGAGGAGAGAGAGAGGAGAGAGAGAGGAGAGAGAGAGAGGAGAGAGAGGAGAGAGAGAGAGGAGAGAGAGATCCTCTCAGTATGTCTCTCTCAGTGTAAACAGTGTTTCCTCTGGGATGTTGTAACTGAGCAGTGACGCTGGGGGTTTCCTGCTGTGTCTGCAGGGGCTTGGGGGACACAGGCAGGGTGCTGTGGTCCCCGGGGACCGTGGGAGGGGACACGGGGGGCACGGGGCTGCTGAAGACCCCATACTTACCTCGTGCTTCTTTGCCTCCTTGTCTCTTTATCCAGGACTTGGATTTAAATAAGTTCTATGGACTTTAAAGTGGTGGATTTGTCATGGTGCAGCAGGTCTCGGCAGGAGACTGCAGAGAAAGCACATTCATGAGGAGACAGAGCAGGGTTAGAGCAGAGTTTGAGCAGAGTGATTAAGGGCGAAGGGCTGAACCTGCAGAGCGAGGTTGGTGCCGCCAGTTTGGGATCTTGTGGGCCCAAGTCGTGCGAGCGCAGGTATCCGCGTGTAACAACCACCACGTGATGAAGGATGAAGAGGAGCTTAAATATACTCACATACGGCTTATACACACTGCCTTTCCTATAATTCAGTGTGTTTTTACGTGCCACATAAAACACACGTACACGCAAACATGTTGGAAGGACGCATACGCAGAACAAGGGTGAACTGGGACGCTCAGGTGAGGGAAACACAAGCAAAAGCTCCCCCTGCTGTAAGTTTACTGAAGTCACTGCAGAAGTCAGATTAGATCAGTAGATGCTTTGTGGCTGCTTTAATCATGGGTAAATATAGTTTCATTTAATTATGAAAGAATATAATTAGGCTTATGTGTGTAGATCAAGCAATGTGCAGCGGGTTCTCTTAAAAGGTAAATTTAATTTTAATATATGTCTCCTCTTCAATCTGATTTGGTACAAAAAAAAGAAAAGAAAAGATCACACTGCAGCTTTTGGACTTTTTAAGACATAGGCCTTTTCAGCCTTTTTAGATCATTACCAAATAAAGTATAAATAACTCTTAGTCTATGGGCGGTCATGTTGTAAGCTATCTATCGTTTTGATATTGATAAAATATGGGCAATTTAATATGTGTTTATTTCCTGGTGATAAAGCCACGGCTGTGCTGAAAAGGCAGAATTCAGCACATTTCATAGAGTGTGTCACAGCTGGAAGCGTGTCGTGATGCAGCTGTTCTACATACAGTGAAACTTTACATTTACTGCTTCCAGCTCAGACTCCTCACTAAAGGTAAGTCACTTTTGAACACTTTTGAACACTTTGAACATTTGAACACTTTGAACACTTTTGACACACTTTGAACACTTTGAACACTTTGGACACTTGGAGACACTTTGGACACTTTGAACACTTTGAACCACTTTGACACTTTGAATCACTTTGAACACTTGAACACTTTGAAACTTTGAACACTTTGTACAACTTGGTACACTTTGGATTGGGGGGGGATTTTCAGATATAATTGGTCTTTATCTGTACAAAAATATCAAATTTAATTGTCAACATAAAGTCCTTTATTCTAATAGAATAGTGGTATGTAAGGTATCCAGGTGAAGTGTGAAACAAGAAGAAAAGTGTTAAAAGTTAATCAGAATCATGGAAATGGTAAATATACAGCACATGGTGATACTCAAATATTGCTGCTTGATTATTATTGTTATTGTTATATACAAATAATTTATTATTTAACACTGCTGTCTGATTTATCCGTACATTTCTCCATCAGGATCAGGAAAGGTTTATTATCATACATTTGCTTGCTGTGTGCGTGTGCGTGTATGGGGTTGTGTTGTGCGTGTGTGTGTGTGGTCTGTGTGCGTGTGCGTGTGTGTCTCTGTGCGTGTGTGTGTGTGTGTTTCTGTGGGTGTGTGTGTCTGTGCGTGTGTGTGTCTGTGGTGTCTATGCGTGTGTGTCTGGAGTGGATCTGTGTGTGTGTCTGTGTGCGTGTGCGTGTCTGTGCGTTGTGTCTGTGTGTGTCTCTGTGTGTGTGTCTGTGCGCTGTCTCTGTGTGTGGTCTGTGTGCGTGTGCGTGTCTGTGCGTGTGTGTCTGTGTGTGTCTCTGCTCGGTGTTGTGTCTGTGCGTGTGCGTGTGTGTGTCTGTGTTTTCTGTGCGTGTGGGTATTTGGTGTGTCTCTGTGTGTGTGTCTGTGGCGTGTGTGTGTCTGCGCAGAAGGGAAACAATGGTTCTCCATTAACTTAGATGGTAAATACTGTAAAAACTCATGAATGTAAAGTTTCTGCTCAGATTAATAAAGAATTGAAAACAAGTGTTTCACATTTTAAGGTATATTACAGACGTACACTAATGTTCTATGTCACCAAGTTAATAATATATAATAATAATAAATTAACATAAATTGTATATTTTTGTCGATAAATTCATGTGATAATAATATTTCTGCACATTTCAGCTCGTATGAAAGATGTTTTTTTTTTTTTTTTTAATTTTTTTTTTGATCAGAGTTTAATGTTTCAGCTTTCAGGTTTCCTTTTCAGATGTTTGTCTCTTGAGATATGTGTTTTCTTTTATGTTCCCGTTCGATAATCAGACTCTTCCTTTTCATTGTGTTTGGTGTTAAATGTTTGTGGAAGTCCCTGCGTCGGTAGAACCAGGAACTACCATCGCATTAGTCCACGACTAGTACCAGGAAGTACCATGCATTAGTCCAGACTCAGAACCAGGACTGTACCATCGCCCCCATTAGTCCAGACTAGAACCAGGGAAAGTACCATCGCATTAGTCCAGACTAGAACCAGGATGTACCATCGCATTAGTCCAGACCTTAGAATGTAAATATTACCTGACGTAGTCAGGCCTATCTCCGCCGTTCTAACTAATGGGCCTCAAAAATTGGGCTCCATGGAGTGATTCAAAATGGACGCGGGGGCTGGAAATATGTGAAAAAAACACATCTGTGCATGAGTCAGCTGCACGCGCTCATTCATTTTAAACGGAGATCTCTAAAAAAAAGTCCACTGCGGACCTAATCTCGTCTGGTCCACGAAAACTCCCTCGGCATTGACACACCATCGTGCGAACGGCGGAGCTTTGGGCCTAAGAGACAACCTTTTGGGACCATCTGGAAAGGAGGTTTTCCTGAGGTAATTCTTCTTCTGGGTCCACCCCCACAAGGCCAGGGGTCGGTATGCAGCATGTTCAGCCACACGTCATTTTGGCCACTATTGAGCCGAGACCCGCCCCCACTGGGCCAGACTAGAACCAAGATGTTCTAGTCTGGACGCTCCTGAACCCACACACTTTGACATACATTGTCTAAACCTACTTGCTCTAATCTACATGCTCTTAACATACATGCTCTAACATACATTGCTATAACCATACATGCTCTATCCTACATGCTTAACCTACATGCTTCTAATCTACACGCTCTAATCTACAAGCTCTAACCTACATGCTCAACCTACATGCTCTAACCTACATGCTCTATTCTACATGCTCTAACCTATACATGACTCTAACATATCACTGCTCTAATCTTACACGCTCTAATCTACATGCTCTTAAAACCTTCACATGCTTAACCTACTTGCTCTAACCTACATGCTTCTAATCTACAAGCCTCTTAATCTACATTGCTCTAACCCTACATGGCCTAACCTACATGCTCTAACCTAAATGCTCTAATCTAACATGTCTATTCTACATGCTCTAATCTACATGCTCTAACCTACTTGCTCTTAACCTACTTGCTCTTCACCTACAGGCTCTAATCTACACGCTCTAAACCCTACATGCTCTAAACCTTCATTGCTCTAAACCGACATGGCTCTATTTCTACACGCTGAACCTTTCATGCTCTTACCTACAGGCTCTTAACTACATGCTCGTACCTACAGGCTCTAATCTTCATGACTCTAATCTACACCGCTCTAATCTACAAGCTCTAACCTTCATGCTCCTTAACCTACATGCTCTAACCTAACATCGGGCTCTAACCTACATGCTCTAACCTACATGCTCTAAACAAATTGCTCTAACCCTACATGCTCTAAACCTACATGCATCTATCCTACTGCTCTAATTCTTCATGCTCTATCTACACGCTCTTAACCTACCTGCTCAATCTACACGCTCTGACCTACTGCTCTAATCTACACGCTCTGACCTACACGCCGTTGGCCTAACACGCAGTGACACCTATTTACAATTCCAGGGTCAAAGGACAGTCCTCTGACATCGCAGTCTCCACCTGTGGCTTCTCCGTTAGGAGTCACACACAAGTGGGGTCACACTAAAACCAGAGCAAAGACTGAACTGGGGCAAAGGAAAGACTGAAGAAATCTTTCAGAACGGGGTAGAATATAAATATTAAAAAAGTCGTGAATTTTTTAATTGATCCATGAAGGGGTTTTAACTCATGTAGGGATGGCTCACACATTTGATTATTGATTGATTGGTTGTTATTTATGTATTTGAAATTGTGTTAACAGTGCATATTAATAAATGTGTCTGCAAACAGCGTCAGCATCTATAACCTGGAATTAGGCACGTTTGCTCCGTTAGCCTTATTAGCGTCCATTTGTCCTCAAGGCACGAAACACACAAACACTCAGTTAGGTTAAAATGTACAAACGATAAGTACGACAAGTACAACATAAACATATAAAAGTAGAGCGTGAAGAGAAAGTCAAAGGATGAGCAGACCTTCATCTGTGGAGCTCGACTGGTTGATTCTCTCAATTGTATTAAATAACTGTACTTTATGGCTCTGGGGACAAGTGCAATATACATACTGCACTTAAGATTTCTGAAGTGCCAAGAATGAAGGGTGGCTCTGTTTAGACGTTCCTGCTTTTTCTATGGTCCTAGTGGTCTCTGATGGTCCTAGAGGTCTTGATGGTCCTAGAGGTCTCTGATGGTCCTAGAGGTCTATGATGGTCTTGAAGGTCTATGATGGTCCTTTGAGGTCTCTGATGGTACTGAGGTCTTGTTGGGCTAGAGGGTCTCCTGATGGTCCTTGAGGCCTCTGTTGTACTATGGTCTCTGATGGTCCTATGGTCTATGATGGTCCTAGAGGTCTCTGATGGTCTAGACGGTCTATGATTGGGGAGCTAGAGGTCTCTGTGGTCCTTGAGGTCTCGGATGTCCTAGAGGTTCTCGGATGGTCCTATGGTCTCTGATGGTACTTGAGAGTCTCGGGATGGTCCTAGAGGTCAGGATGGTTCCTAGAGGTCTCGGGATGGTCCTAGAGGTCTCGGATGGTCATAGAGGTCTCGGATGGTCTCCTAGAGGTCTCTTTTGGTCCTAGAGGTCTTCTCTTGGTCCTAGACATCTCCGGAATGGTCTAGAGGTCTCTCTTGGTCCTAGAGTCTCGGATGGTCCTAGAGGTCTCGGATGGGCCTAGAGGTCTCGGATGGTTCCATAGAGGTCTCAGATGGTCTATGGTCTTTGAAAGGTCCTAGAGGTCTCTGATGGTCTATGGTCTATTGAAGGTCCTAGAGGCTACTGATGGGGTCCTAGAGGTCTCTTTTGGTCCTAGAGGTCTCGGATGGTCCTAGAGGTCTAGGTGGTCCGAGAGGACTTGATGGTCCTAGACGGTCTCGGTTGGTCCTAGAGGTCTAGGATTGCGGCCGATGGTCTCTGATGGTACTAGTGGTCTCTGATGGTCCTAGTAGAGGTTCGGAAGGTCATAGTATTGGTCTCGGATGGTCCTAGTAGAGTCTCTGATGGTCCAAGAGGTCTCTGATGGCTCCTGTAGAGGTCTCTGATGGTCCTCAGTAGAGGTCTCTGATGGTCCTAAGGTCTCTGATGGTCCTAGAGGTCTCTGATGTTCCTAGTAGAGGTCTATGATGGTGCCTAGTTGAGGTCTCTGATGCGTCCTAGGCGTCTACTGATGGTCCTAGGAGGTCTCTGATGGTCCTTGTAGAGGTCTTGAGATGGTCCTAGTAGAAGGGTCTCTGATGGTCCTAGTGAGTCTCTGATTGTCCTTGTAGAGGTCTTGATGGTTCCTTGGTCTCTTGAAGGTCCTAGAGGGCTCTGATGGTCCTAGAGGTCTTTTTGGTCCCTAGAGGTCTCGGATGGTTCCTTAGAGGTCTCGGATGGTCCTGAGGTCTCGATGGGTCCTAGTGGTCTCGGATGGTCTATGGGTCAATGATGGTCCTATGGTCTTCTGATGGTCCTAGAGGTCTTGATGGTCCTAGTACACGAGGTCTATGAATGGTCTAGTATGGTCTCTGTTGGTCCTGTAGAGGTCTCTGTTGGTACAAGAGGTCTATGATAGGTCCTAGTAGTAGGTCTCTGATGGTCCTTGTTGAGGTGCTCTGATGGTTCCTAGAGGTCTATGTTGGTCTAGAGGTCTCTGATGGTCCTAGTAGAGGTCTCTGTTGGTCCTAGTAGAGGTCTCTGATGGTCCTAGAGGTCTCTGATGGTCCTAGGGTCTCTGATGGTCCTAGTAGGGGTCTCTGTTGGTCCTAGGTACGAGGTCTCTGATGGTCTAGTAGAGGTCTTCTGATGGTCCAGGTAGAGGTCTTTGATGGTCAGTAGAGTGTCTATGATGGTCCTAGAAGGTCCTCTGCATGGTCTAGAGGTCTCTGATGGTCCTAGTAGAGGTCTCTGATGAGTCCTAGAGGTCTTGATGGTCCTGTAGAGGTCTCTTGATGCGTCCTAGTAGTGGTCTCTGTTGGTCCTAGTAAGAGGTCTCTGATGGTCCTAGTAGAGGTTCTGATGGGCCTAGAGGTATCTGATGGTCATTGTAGAGGTCTCTGATGGTCCTAGAGGGCTGCAGCATGGGGCCTATGGTCTTTGATGGTCCTAGAGGTCTCTCTTGGTACTAGACGGTCTCGGATGGTCCTAGAGGTCTCGGTGGTTCCTAGAGTGGTCTCGGAATTGGTCCTAGAGGTCTCGGATGGTCCTAGTAGAGGTCTAGGTTGGTCACTAGAGGTCCGGATGGTCCTAGAGTCTCGGATGGTCCTTGAGGTCTCTGTGGTCCTTGTAGAGGACTCTGCTGGTCTTAGAGGTCTTGATGGTCCTAGTAGAGGTCTCGGACTGGTCCTTGTAGAGGTCTTGATGGTCATAGTGAGAGGTCTCTGATGGTCCTAGAGGTCTCTGATGGTCCTAGAGGTCTTGTTGGTCCTAGTAGAGGTCTATGATGGTCTAGTAGAGGTCTTCTGATGGTCCTAGTTAGAGGTCTCTGATGGTCCTCTGTTCGAGGTCTTGATGGTCCTAGTTGAGGGTCTCTGATGGTACTATGTAGGGGTTCTCTGATGGTCCTAGAGAGGTCTCTGATGTCCTGAAATAAAAGGTCTCTGATGGTGCTAGAGGTCGCTGATGGGTCCTAGAGGTAAAGAGGACGTTATTGATAATAAATGTTTACAATACAATAAAAAAGTAATTTTAAAAACAAAATATGTAAGATTTACATGCTGAGTCATCATTAAAGAGCCTAATCTGTCTCATTAAAGGGCCCTAATCTGTATCATTAAAGGGCCCTAATCTGTCCTCATAAAAGGGCCTAATGTTCATCATTAATGGGCCCTAATTCTGTCATCATTAAAGGGCATAAATCTGTCATAATTAAAGAGCTAATCTGTCATAATTTTAAAGAGCCTAATCTGTAATCATTAAAACGGGCCCTCTTAATCTGTCTTCATTAAAGGGCCCTAATCTTTCATGCATTAAAGGGCCCTAATCTGTCATCATTAAAGGGCCTTAATCTGTCATCATTAAAGGGCCTTAATCTGTCCTAATTAAAGGGCCCTAATCTGTCTCATTAAAGGGGCCTAATCTGTAATCATTCAAAAGGGCCTAATCTGTCATCATTATAGGGCCCTAATCTGTCATCATTAAAGGGCCTAATCTGTCTTCATTAAAGGGCCCTAATCTGTCATCATTAAGCGGGCCCTAATCTGTCATCATTAAAGGGCCCTAATCTGTCATCATTAAAGGGCCTAATCTGTCATCATTAAAGGGCCTAATCTGTCATTATAATAAACTGCTCTTTTCCAATACTTCTTTAACTGATAACAGTAGTATACATACTATATATAATTTCTAAATTATTTTTCCGGCCCTAAATCTTGTTATTGTTTTCATTTCGATGTCCGCCCCCACGTTTCACAATCAGAAATGTTTAGGCGGGATGGGTTAAGGGTTCTGTGCTTTGATGATGAAGCACAAGAGTTAGAAAAGACTTATTAACAGTGGTTTGTTTCGAGACACTGAACATCTGCTGCACAAGTGGTTTAGACTGGATTTTACATGTTTTAGCAACATCTGTAAACACACACACACACACACAGGAGAACACGCAACAAGACAGAAACACAACACACACACAACAACACAAACAGGCAGAAAGCAACAACACAGAAAACAACACAGACAGAAACACACGCACACACACAGAAACACAACACAGACAGACACACGCACACACAACCAGAAACACACACAGACGAAACACACGCACAACACACAGAAACACACAACACAGAAACACACACACAAGACACGCACAACACACAGAAACAACACAGACAGAAACACACACACACATTGTCCTTGTTGAACTGACTTGCTGTTACACAATTAATGCTGTAGGAAATTCAAGATGAAAAGTAAAAATAAAAAACAATTTAACTTTTAAAATACATTAATTTTTATATTTTAATTGTGGAAGTTTGCAGTGTTTCCTGAACTAGTCTGGGTCTACAGCTCAGTCTGGGTCTACAGCCTCAGTCTGGGTCTAAGCTCAGTCTGGGTCTACAGTTCATTACGTTTTAAGTCAAATACAAATACTTCGAAACATCTTGTACAAACAGGAATTCACCGGAGTCTCCGTGTGTGTGTTCTGGAGCGTGGTGCGTGGATAAGGGAAAATCCGCGGAACGCCGCCTCCATTTGTAATCGTTTGTTTAAGACGTGTGGGCGTAGTTCAGTTCCGACAGCTCAGAGGTCGGGTTTCTTATGTTGGAATTCACAAAGGTTTTTTGTTTGTATAGAAATCCTGGTTTTATTCCTTGTTTTGTCAACAACAAATCTATAACAACACCTTTTTCACAAAGTTAAAATGGTTTTATTCCTTGTTTTGTCGTTAAGTGATCATAACGAGACTTTTTTAGTTCTGCGCCACATGGTACTTTACCAGTGAGATTAGCTCCACATGGTACTTTACCAGTGAGATTAGCTCCACATGGTACTTTACCAGTGAGATTAGCTCCACATGGTACTTTACCAGTGAGATTAGCTCACATGGTACTTTACCAGTGAGATTAGCTCCACATGGTACTTTACCAGTGAGATTAGCTCCACATGGTACTTTACCAGTGAGATTAGCTCCACGCGGTGAGTTCTGGCGCCCGGATCACAGACTTTCTGATTGGTGAAACGGTGGAGGGCGGGACATCGAAATGAAAACAATAACAAGATTTAGAGGCTGGAAAAGTAATTTAGAAATTCAAATATCTCTGAACGACTGTTATCAGTTAAAGAAGGATTGGAAAAGAGCAGTTTATTATTATGACAGATTAGGGCCCTTTAATGATGACAGATTAGGGCCTTTAATGATGACAGATTAGGGCC